ACAAAATTTTTGCTAAGCGCATTCTCCTTGTTTGGTTTCTCGCACAGAAATTCTCCCTTCTGTTGTACGGGGTAGATCTGGGCTCTCCGAATACTTAGGAGGCCCCATACGATGCATTTGGGTGTAACAACCTGGCACTGCGAGTCCTGTCTCGGGCAGCTGCCCAGCAAATTCTGGTGGTAAGGGCTGGAGAGGAGTCGAGAGTGAGAAACAGGGTGTCCAACGGTGCGGTGCTGCCCGGCACCGCCAGCTACACAGACTCAGCGAGGGCACCCACCTTTGCTACTAAAAAAAAGGAATGAAAGTACTACTATTTAACCTTCTGACAAAGATGTTGTGAAGAAAACAACAGTTCCTGTGTTAGATTAGGTTCGTAACTGGCCGCTTCGCTTCCAGCGTTTTTGGAAGATGCGGGTGTCAGCAGGCAACCGAGCGCGGTTTGTAAATAGACACAAACGCAACTGATCTACTGTAACTTCTGTTTTCATCCACACTTCTGAGCACCTTAATAATTAATCAGCTAACAAGAGTTTGTATATGGAAGAAATGTTCTATACTTATATTTAATCCAACTCGGCAGTTTTTTAAATGGAAAACCTGTAAATAGTGTCAATGAAAGCCAATCTCTGCTTTCCTTGCCATCGTGGCACTGTGCTCTCCAGCACCGTTCTCTCTGGAAAAGAGAAACTACTGTACTTAGTAACTCCAAGATCCATATTTAACTACTATTCCTATATGAATTATTTCTACCCTTTTAACAAGCAATCTACTAAATCTTCTGAGATGTGAAGAAAACTCATGTGAGACTCGGGTGAGAACTAACCGCAGCATTTACTGTATTAACCCTGGTTTCTGTTCTTGGTGGGATCAGGTACAGGTTTAGCTGTAGGATAGCTTGTGCAAGGCACTGACAAGCCCAAAAACTTGTTCTTATTGTGAAGATCTCTCCTTAGGCTGATTGAAATGCCGTTACTCCAGCTGATTAGCAGCATGGATGTGAAGGCTGCCGGCTGCATGGATGGGATGGGGTGGAAGTCCTGGGGCAGGGGTGGAGAAGGCATCTGGAAGGCAAAGCCAAAGCCACTGGAGAAGGCATCTGGAAGGCAAAGCCATTGGAGAAGGTATCTGGAAGGCAAAGCCACTGGAGAAGGCATCTGGAAGGCAAAGCCATTGGAGAAGGCATCTGGAAGGCAAAGCCATTGGAGAAGGCATCTGGAAGGCAAAGCCACTGGAGAAGGCATCTGGAAGGCAAAGCCATTGGAGAAGGCATCTGGAAGGCAAAGCCATTGGAGAAGGCATCTGGAAGGCAAAGCCGTTGGGCTCTGGTCTTTGCTTCGAGTGTTTGGACATCCCCCACAGTGGTTTAGAAAGGGGAAATGAGAAACAGAGGGTTGGTTTCCAGTGTGTTGCAGATTATTGATATACCTCAACTAAAGCTCAGCACTTTTACTCGTGGCGGGAGAAATTCGGACGCCGAAGAAGCGGCCGCCCCTGCAGTGGAGCGGATCCGAATCCGGCCCCGGCAGCCCACAGCTCACCACCCGTGGGCCCGCTCAGCTTTGCCGTGCAGCCAGCAGCGTCCAGCAAAGGCTGGGAATGGGATGGCCGGTGCCGGAGCGAGCGTGTGCCCGGAGAGGAGGAGGCAGCGGCAGCCCCAGTTGTGCCCCGTCGCTCCCTGGTGCTGCCCTGGGAGGAGCAGATAACGCCCAGGCTCCGATGGGAGACGCACAAAGCGCCGCAGCCGGAGGCATCAACTGCAGATTAAACGTTTGGGAGCCGATGGAGTTTAAACCTGAAGGATAAGATCAGCGATGCGAGAGCTGACTTTTAAAACTCTCTTCTGACAGATTCAGCCACTGTTCGCTGCCGTTGGGTTAAACAGGGAGAGGCGCTGGCGTGTGAAATCGGCAGCGATCAAACCACGCCAGCGTTTTCCTCGGCGGATGTCAGTCGCCACATCCTCTGAAACCAGAAGCCATTTTCCGTGGGTTGTTACATTCGGCCTTCACCAGAGGCGTACGGGACTATTTATTATGGCCATGAAAGTAACAGTTTTGCTTTTGAATATTATCTTCTAAGGAGGAGTGGGAGCTTGGGGGCCCACAATTAAAGTCTAATATTAACTTCACAAGAAGCAAACGGAGCTTATTGCCGCTGCTCCGGATTTTGCGTCTCGGTTCGCGAGCTATTATTTAACATTGTTCCAAAACCTCGGCGTCACGTGCTGGAAAAGGGGGGGAGAACGAGAGGGGTGGCTTTAATTTGTTACCTGAGCGTGCTCAGCCGATCGCAAGCCAGATTTATTTCTCATCTACAAGAATAAAATTTAAGGCCTGAGCCTTCCTTGCTCGGTAGCGTGTACTTATTTTGCTTATTATGCGATTTGAAATGTTTATTCCAGTACTCGCGTCTAGGTTTCTTCTGTGAATGATCACGAAGACCTGGACTAGCGCGTGCATCGCACAAATATTTGCATTCCGGGGTTATTTGGTGTTGGGTGGCTTTTCACCGAGCTTTGCTTTGGCTGGTGCAGGGCACCTGAGCGCGCAGGGGCACGGCGGGGGGAATTCAGACCTCGTCACCAACGCGGTGACTTCTGCAAACGGCTTCTTCCTGCGGGTGTTTGAAGAATCATTTCAGTGCAAGGTTAAGCATCAGGCATTTCAATAAATTTGCAGATTGCGTGCAAAAGAGAAAAAAGGGAGCATTGCCGCCGTTGATACTGTAGATGGTGTGACAGGCCGCCGAGGCCGGGTGGCACTGGGATGGGCGCCCTGGATTTATAGAGAGGTGCTGGCGTGGGTGTGCTGGGCAGAGGCAGGAGGGCCAAGGGTGCGGGTTGTGAGCGCCGAGGCTCGGGAGCGAGCGCTGCGGTCCTGCGTGGTGACGTGGGGAGGCACCGCAGTGACGACGCGGGGGACGTCGCTGACAGGAGCAGAGGGACAGCAGATGCCTCCAAGCCGAGGAGGACCTCACGTTTCGAGGCTGGCGTTTAAGGCAGCGGTCAGGTACGTAAGTGTCCTGGTGGGCGCCAGCCATTGCGGCCGGCCTTTTACGTGGTTTTATTTGAGGAAGAGCCGAGGGAGCAGCCGGCCCCCGCCACGAAC